TGCCTTCGTTAACTTAAAAAGCTTATTCGTATGCTAAAATTCTTTAGTGTTGCATTATGATTGCTTCTATTTTCCTAATGATGTGCTAGACTTTTTAAACACATTAAATTGTTACAGAACTGCAGCGATGTATGGTACACAGATCATTTGCAAGACAATCCAATAACTTGATACTACTAATAATTTAATTGCCTTTATAATGAAATGGTTGTGACAAGCCACAGAGAAGAGTGTTATAATAATAAATAATAATTAATGGAGATATCCCATCTCCTAGAACTGGAAGGGACCTTGACAAGTCATCGAGTCCAGCCCCCTGCCTTCACTAGCAGGACCAAGTACTGATTTTGCCCCAGATCCCCACGTGGCCCCCTCAAGGATTGAACTCACAACCCTGGGTTTAGCAGGCCAACGCTCAAACCACTGAGCTATGCCTCCCCTCCCTGTTCAACTTGGATTAAAATTACAAGCGAGGATTAAATATGGAATGAGAATTTTGGTCCCCATTTGTTATCAAGGGTTTTTTCCTGAGCAAAAGATCAAGTGAAAGTATACATTAATGTATTCTAGGCAGGGCTGGCCGCACGGCCTAATGTAGAAGCGTTGTCACTTTTGTAGAGTGCTTGAGATTTCACATGTTTAGAAGAGCCTCCTGTTGTTGGGGTTTTTTTTGTTTGTTTTTTTTCTCTCTAGCAAACAAAGGTGATTTATTTTAAACATATCCTGTTTGGAAACAAGCTCTCTTCCCTTGTGGTTCCACACTACATCTTGCCCTCATGCTGCAGCCTTTTACGTGTAGCAAACTTCCATAACTTAGATGTAAAGGGGACATAATCTTTTAATTGCTCCTCAGTCATTGACACAGTAGCACCTGATGAAGGGAGCAGGTGATGCTTTCAGTAGTATAGACAGCCTAATGAATTCAGATGGTCATTCTTTTCAGATGGTCATCTACCAGTGAGGAAATCTGATCTCATTAGCCGCCTAGGAAGGCCCTTGTTCCAGTACTGAAATGAGACCATTTATATAGTCAAATGGAAATCAACCAAGCATAAGAACATATGTTTATTCTCATGCATTTTGGTGGTGATACTCGTCATGGTATTCAGCTAAATAAATGCTAGGACATGACTACCCCCAACAGGTGCTAAGATACCATGTGATGAGAGCCCATATAAAAACCTGGGTATGGAGAATGTGCTCTCCTCTGGAGGAGACTTACATATGGCACCATTAGCCTAACCCCTTGCCTCTGATTGCAATTCAGACTCTTACTGTGACATTTTTAGCACACTTGTTTCTATTTTGGAGAGGGTATCTACAGGCTTATGACATGCTAATTATCATGTGAGACTGAATGAACCTGTTGGTCCTTTTGTCTATATCTGGGGTTCTCAAACTGCGGGTCATGAGGTTATTACATGGGGAGCTGTCAGCCTCCACCCCAAACCCTGCTTTGCCTCCAGCATTTATAATGAGGTTAAATATATTTTAAAAGTGTTTAATTGATAAGGGGGGTTGCACTCAGAGGCTTGCTATGTGAAAGGTGTCACCAGTACAAAAGTTTGAGAACCACTGGTCTATAGCTAACGTCCTTTAACAATTGCACTGCTGATCTTTACTACTATGTGCTGCACTGAGCTCAGTGGACTTCATGACATCCTTCTTTTTTCAATGGGATTACAGAGCAATAAAGTAGTATACAAGAATGAGGGTGAACAAATTTGACTACTTATGTAAGCTGTTGTATTTTAAATAAATGGTACATATTTAAAAGATGTTGATCCTTTATCTGATTGAATTAATAATATCAGCAAGAGAAACTCACAAAATACAGCATATCTACTCAGAAAGAGACAAGCTGGGCAGAATTAGCAATCTTCCTACTTTTAAACCAAAGTTCAGATTGAA